AACAGAAACAACAATCACAAGCCCTCCTTACTAATGAAAAAATTCAAGTTAATTTTTTGTCACACCAGGATACACTGTTAACCAGCGTCACACGCTAGATATCACTGTAACAGTGTCCACGCACGTCAGATTACACTGGTAACAGCGTCCATCACGTAGATACATCTGTAACAGCGCTCCTACACCTAGGATACACTGTAACAGCGCCCCACCTAGATGACATCTGTGACAGCGTCCACACGCTAGATTACACTGTAAGCAGCGTCCACACAGGATTACACTGGTACAATGCGTCGCACACCTAGATTAGCACTGCTAAACGAGCAGTCCACACCTGAGCATACACTGCTTAACAGCGTCACAGCGTACTACACTGTAAACAGCGTCCACACGTGAATTCTACACTGTAACAGCGTCCACACCTAGATACACCTTGTTAACAGCGTCCACCACCAAGTATACACTGTGACAGCGTCACACGTAGTATACACTGTAACAGTCTGTCCACACCTAAGATACACTGTAACGAGCGTCCACCACGTAGGATTACTCTGGAGGGGCTTGTAACAGCGTCCACACGTAGATAGCACTCGTTACAGCGTCCACAGCCTAGATACATCTGCTAACAGCGTCCCACACCTAGATACACTGTAACCAGCGTTCCAGCACGGTGTACAGCTGTAAACACGCGTGCCACACGTATATTACACTAGCTAACGAGCGCGGTTCCACACGTAGATATCACTGTATACAGCGTCGCACGTAGAGACACTGTAACGGCCATACACACGTAGATACACTGTACAGCGTCCACACCTGTAGATACACTATAGCAAGCGTACACCACCGTAGATACACTGTCACAGCGTCCACACGTAGAACACTGTACAGCGTCCGGCCACGTAGATGACACTATAACAGCGTCCACCGTAGATAGCACTCGTCAACAGCATCCACACCGTAGATACACTGCTTAACAGCATCCACACAGTAGATACACTTACAGCGTCGCCACGTAGATACACTGTAACAGCGCCACCACGTAGATACACTGTAACACGGTCCCACACATAGATTACACTGTAAAGCATCCACACCTAGATACACTGTAACAGCATCCACACGTAGATACACTGTAACAGCATCCACAACGTAGATACACCTGTAAAACAGCATCCACACGTAGATACACATGCTCAACAGCGTCCGCACGTAGATACACTGTAACAGGTCCACACGGGTAAGATCAACTCACTAAGAGCTTCTGCGCGGTGACCAGCCTCCCTCCTTGCCTCCCAGTCGTTGTCTCGTCACCGTGGCCTCTCCTTCTCCTCCTCCTCCCCTGCTGCAGCCGTGATGGCTTCATCGGTCTCGTCGACCCGCGCCTCCTCTGGCTTAGTTGTCTCCTCTCGCTTGGCGTTGGTCTCCGCCTTTCTGCCGAGGATTATTTCGATCAGAAGCAGCAGGCTTAGGGGCTTTGCATCGGCTCCTGCTTTTACTGTAAACACATTGCACATATATATATATATAGGCATATATATATATATAGGACATATGTATATATATAGTATATAGGCGCATAATACTATAACCTCTTGCTTCTTCCATTGCTCTTTCATGCTTGCCTTGGTTATCGCGTTCTCTCTCCCTCTCGTCTTCTCTCTCTCGCCTCTCTCTCTCTCTCGCTATCTCTCTCTGCCTCTCGCTATGTCTCTCTCTCTCTCTCTCCTCTCTCTGTCTCTCTCTCTTCTCTCGCTTGTGTCTCTCTCGCTCTCTCTCGCTCTCGCTCTCGCTCTCGCTTCTCGCTCTCGCTCTCGCTCTCGGCTCTCGCTCTCGCTCTGTCTGTGTCTTTTTCGTGTCTGTGTCTCTGTCTCTGTCTCTGTCTTCTGTCTCTCTCTCTCTCTCTCTCTCTCTCTTCTCTCTCTCTCTTTCTCTCTCTCTCTCTCTCTCTCTCTCTCTCTGTCCCCTCTTCACTCTCTCTCACTCTCTCTCTCTCTCCCGCTATCACAGTATCACCCACGCGACGCATGGTCTAGCCTGGCTGCACGCCCTGCCATCTTGCCACTCTCTTGTCCATTGTTTCTATTGTCACGCTGCCACACCGCCGCTGAGTCTACGAAGACAACCCGCGCCTCCGCCGCCAACGCAACTGATGTCCAGCCCCGCGCGCCCGCACTCCGATCAAACGCTCTCGCAGTCATCGGAACGCCATGCCGCCGCGTTCGGGCGGGGAGTCGCGTGTCGTCTGCCGGCGAGCCGCCGCGTCGCGTCCCGTGACACGACAGCGGTGGGTACCGGCGTCGGGACAACGGGACCTCGACGTGTCTGCAGTCGTTGGCTGCGGTCAGCTAGTAAGATCTGGACTTGGAGGTAGCTGCAGCGGTGGCAGTGGTAGCTGAGCGCAGATCTAGAAGTTATTTCTCCTCAAGCATCGGCGACTTACAATACTAGACGGGGTTTGAAAGCGGGCCCACAGGTGGTTTGCGTGGCTAGGAGTGGCTTGCCGCCACCAGCAACAGGCCCACATTTTTTGAACAGCTCGGGTCCATGAGCCACGGCAGCGCCGCGGAGACGACATGGGGCCCGGCAAGCCTAGCACTGGCGTCGGCCGTCCGTCGGATCATCTCCGGTTCCCTCCATCGAATCAGACATCGAACGAAGTCGGGTGTATGAGTCCGGGCGATCGCGTCCTTCGCGTGCGGAGGCGGTCGCCGCGGCAACGGCTGCGCCATCCGCCCCCGCGCTGTCTGGCTTCGAAGCCGTTTCCGACTCCGGCGTGATCGCGGCGCCACCTACTCGGCCGTCGAAAATGACGCCAGGCGGCGCTGCGATTGCACCTGCAGGCGACGCCGCCGCGCGGAAAACAGAATCCGGACGGAATAGCGTGTCCGTCGGTGTCCCGTCTCCGTGGACTGCCGATCGCCGCGCTGCCAGTCCGTCCGTCGCCGCGCCGTCAGCGAGGCTGCCAAGCCGGTGCGATATCTCCGCTAAGAGGGAGGCTGCTCGACGGGGCGCGGGCGCGTTGACGGTCGCCACGGTAACGGCCGGCGCGGCGACGGAGGCAGCGCAGGGAGCTGTGGATGCGGTCGCTGGGGCGCACGCCGCCGTAGCGACGCTCGCGTCAGGCGTTAACGTAGCAACCGCTGCCGTCGACAACGACAACAATCGCATCCCGCCCGCCGGGAACGCCGGCGTGGGAGACGGGAGCGCTCCGGGATGGAGGAAGTCGAAGAACTCGCTCCGGGCGACTGGGTCTCGCGTCGTCGTCGTCGTCGCCGCTGCCATCCCCGCCTGCCGGGCGGCGAAATACCCCGGCGCGTCGAGCGACATCGGCGGCGAGTCACCCTCCGCGGCAACGGGACCCGGGTTTCGCGGCGTGCCAAACACGGTCACGTCGAGCGCGTCGCCGCCGCCGCCGGCGCCCTCTCGGTTCTGCTGTTCTTTGATGAAGGTCTCGAGGGAATCGAAAGCCTGGTGGCAGGTGTGGAACGTGTTGACCCGATGACGCAGCCACTTGGATAGACCTGATGCGCACAGAGAACCAAGTGAACACTTCCGAAACCGAAGAAGATCCCTCTAACGGGACACACAAACAAGTGAACGCCAAGAAGACAACTATAGCAGGACGAGAAAACAAGTGAACGTCACCAAACAGAAAAAACGATCCCTTTAACGGAACGCTCGAACAAGCGAACGCTGGCAAACTGGGAGAGACGATCACTCTGGGCGAGACTGGACTCTCGAATGAATCGTAGAAGAATACCGAGATATTATTCTCTACAAGTTTTGACAGATGGGATTCAGGGGGGGGGGGATGGGTGCGCGTCCTACCTGAGGTGTACCGAGTCGGATTCTTCGTGTATCTGTCGTCGAGAAGGACGAGGGCGCCCCAGTCGCCACGGTGACGTATGCAGCGGCCGAGAGCCTGGTTGAGCGCACGGTACGCCTGGATCTCATACCAGTTGGCGCCACTGAGCAGTCCGCGTGAGCGGTGCTGGTCGTTGTAGCTGCGCTTCAGCGCCACCTGGGGGTCTTTCACGCCCGGATACGGGATGCCGACCTGCAGGAGGAACGTGTCAGGCTGCGACCGCCGCGGCTGCCGCCAGCGCCCCCTACGTCGAATAGATGGCGACAACGACGGGGGACATCTCGCGACGAGAAGTGAAAACCGGCACGAAAAACATATGTAGCGCCAGCCGCATTAGCAGCGCATGCATTTTGCATGCGATCTCACAAAATTTCCATGAACCCCGTTCTGTCCCATTAACCCTCACCAAAATATAAAAAAGGTTATATGGGACAGAATTATTCGGTCTAATAGTACTAGAGCTAAGTAGTGCTCTGATATCATGTAGCCTCGTAACCTCGTAAATATTAGTCTTCAATGTCCAAGGGACTATATTGAAGATGGAAAGAGACAAAGTTGATCGTGCATGCATACGATTATGACGTATAGATCAAGTTGATGTATGCACATCAACACTGTTATAACCATTTTGAGTCTATGTCACATGGGTCCGGGAAGAGACTCTCGGCTGTGCTAGAGAGTGTGAAATGCTACGGGGTACACAGGCACTTGAAGCGTTTCAACTGTAAACACACGCCGCCGCCATTGCGCGCACACTGACACATAAATATATAGTGTGTGAGTACACTGACACATAACTATATATTTATGTGTCAGTGTGCGCGCAATGGCGGGGGCGTGTGTTTACAGTTGAAACGCTTCAAGTGCCTGTGACGGGGTACGGGGACTGTACTCAATTTCAATCGAACATGTACTCGAATCCATACATTAACTTTTGTTCGGCGGAAATGTTTGAAATGTGGTACTTATCGTAAGGATTATTATTTCTGTGGAAATCATGTGAAATCGTGCGTGTAAATGCGCTGCCAGGCGTCTGGCTGTTGATGAATCACTGCTTGCGGGCAATGTTGACAAGTCAGAAATCACTCCCTCGCTCCGTTTATAACATCGGCGAATGGCGATCAAAACTCACCCTGCTTGACAGCATCTTCATAGGTTATACAACACGGTTTGGAATCTTTGGCACCCATTTTCCTCGCGTATTATTCAACACGCAAACAGTAAACGATCAATGCATGATAAAATCACGAAAATCACGCACCAGAATCTCCATTTTGCTCACGTGACCTTATGGTATGACATCCGGGTTGTCGGAAAGTGAGCATCTCTATCGCTAGTAAGAGGTCATGTGAGCTATGCATGCAGACCACTGATCTCTATAATATAATCTCTATGATTATATTATAGAGATCAGTGATGCAGACCACTGATCTCTACCAGAGCACTTATATCAGCGTTGATTTATATGCTCTGTCTCTACCATAGAAATAGATAGATAACTAGATAGATAGATAGATAGATAGGTAAATAATAAATAGATAGATAGGTTATCTATCTATTTCTATGGTCTCTACTATACTAACGTTAGTATAGTAGAGATCAGTGATGCAGACATCATAGATACTACTCCAAGAGTAGAGAGCTGAGAAGTGAGGGTGCGGGTGAGGGTATCCATAATCTTATAATATCTTTGGATATTCTAAGATGAATATACCCCCCTGTTATTGACTTTCTTTATAATTATAGTCTGAAATTTGCCCCACACATTTTTTTTATAATTGACCCCCATCCCAATCACAAGAAACAGAAATCCGTTTACAAAATTAAAAAAATCCTTTCATGTGACGAGTTACGGGCTTTTTTGTGACGAAATTTTGACCCATTTTTGGGAATCCTTTTTAACTATGGTAAGGTATAGGAGCAAAATGGGACATTTTTAGAGCATTTTTACCAATTTTCGTGACTTAATTAGTTATATCTTATACATTTCTTAACCAATTACCCTCGTATTTCATATGAGGCAAGTTCCCACAAAAGGTAAGTGATTGCCGTAATTTGACCTCTTAGTGACCCCACTGTGATGACCTGTGACGTCATCAAATTGACCTCACCAGGTAAAAATTCAGGTAAATCTCATTTTACACCCTATGTTTGCTCTTATTTCAGTTTTAATTACACTATATCATTAGTTAGCTATATTTACAAGAATGCTACCATAATTGTGCTGTTATTTTCAGTTTAGTTGTAATTGTTGCCATGGAAACAGATGAGAAAGATCGTTACCTACCTGTGGAGTCACCATGCATTTCCATTATATCCAATTATTAACAAATTACAAATTAAAAACAAATTAGAATTCATATTATGGTTCAACTCAAGAAATAATGTTATTATGATATATATAAGTGTAAGCGTGCAACAGTCGCGCCGCGAAAGCAATGGCGCCGGGAGCGTATGGTTGGACGTAGGATTTGGACAGAATTGACAGGAAACTGTCAGCAATAATAGGTGAAAGAGAGTATATAAATTTGGTAGTAAATAGATTTCGTATTTATTTAGCATTATATTTTATTGAAACGCTTCAAGTGCCTGTGTCTGTTCCTGCCAATTTTGTGAATATGTATATTATCCATACTACGTTGGCAGTTGTAATGTGAGTGAGGACAAGTGTCAAGCTCATCTGGAAGATCTGTTTCGGTGTACCACATCGATATCAAAAGATTCTTGTTGCACGTTTCTATCATAAAAAATAATAGGGCTATTCTGTAATTCACATATATTTATTACAGGAGTTTTCTGTTCAATTCGATTAATTATAATCGATAGTACATTATGTATTTAACAGTACGTACACATTAAAACTGTAAATTCCATTTTACCACAGTTAATGAGTTATTAATAGATATGTATGTATACCAAGCTCTATGACTCTCAGTTAACTCTTACAGTGCAATCAGAAACAAAAGATTGGCATTGCTATATACAATTTAACAACATGGTAAAGCCTAAAAAACGGTCCTGATTATGACACATGCGCATAACACACATACTCGTACATGTTACGAATACTTCACAACGAATTTCCATTTCGTTTTAACCAAACACATAGGATTAACTATATATCTTACATACAAACAATCCCTCCATTTAACCCTCGGATGAAAGCCCCCTATATGCGAACAAGACACATTAGCGCCACCTACGTACCTCATCACTGCTGTTTCAAGGGACATCGCGTTGCCCCCAATAACGTCTCTACCCCAAGTAAAACTACCTCATCCCGCTGCAGACGCCCGAGCGGGTTCACGCCCGATCCCATCGCCGCAACGACGCACAAGCCAATTGCGGCCCGGCAGGCGACGCACGCCATTGGACGAAACACGCAGGCATCTGCCTCGCTCCAGACGGCGTTCAGGGAGACGGTGGCGACGCCGGCGTCTCGCGGCGTCTGCTCGGTGAAGCAGATCGATCCCGGACAGAAGCTGTGCAGATTGACAATCGCGACCATGGAGACATCGTCCGCTCTGGCAGCAGCATCTGCTATCGTAGCGGTATCTGTTTTGGTAGCGGTATCTGTTCTGGTAGCAGTATCTGTGGTGTTTGTGGCGTCCACTCGCAAGTGTAGAGGTTTTTTCGATAGTGAATCTGTAAAATACGGTCAGACTCTTATAAGACAGAGACTATGTTTACTGTACAGTAGGGGGTGCTCAGTCAATGCTAGCTGTATGGGGTTGGGGTACTTGGGGTATTTTTATCTCTTTTTTTGGAGCTGGCTATGGGAGCACTATAGCAGTTAATCAGGGCTCACCATAGGGGGCGCTTACTCACATCTAGTTATAGGGGGCGCTCACTCACATCTAGTTATAGGGGGCGCTCACTCACATCTAGTTATAGGGGGCGCTCACTCACATCTAGTTATAGGGGGCGCTCACTCACATCTAGTTATAGGGGGTGCTTACTCACATCTAGTTATAGGGGGCCCTTACTTACATCTAGTTATAGGGGGCGCTCACTTACATCTAGATATAGGGGGCGCTCACTTACATCTAGTTANGGTAGCGGTATCTGTTCTGGTAGCAGTATCTGTGGTGTTTGTGGCGTCCACTCGCAAGTGTAGAGGTTTTTTCGATAGTGAATCTGTAAAATACGGTCAGACTCTTATAAGACAGAGACTATGTTTGCTGTACAGTAGGGGGTGCTCAGTCAATGCTAGCTGTATGGGGTTGGGGTACTCATTTATTTTTATCTCGTTTTTGGAGCTGGCTATGGGAGCACTATAGCGGTTAATCAGGGCTCATTATAGAGGGCGCTCACTCACATCTAGTTATAGAGGGCGCTTACTCACATCTAGTTATAGGGGGCGCTTACTCACATCTAGTTATAGGGGGCGCTTACTCAGAGCTAGTTATAGGGGGCGCTTACTTAGAGCTAGTTATAGGTGGCGCTTACTCAGAGCTAATTATAGGGGGCGCTTACTCAGAGCTAATTATAGGGGGCGCTTACTCAGAGCTAGTTATAGGGGGCGCTTACTCACATCTAGTTATAGGGGGCGCTCACTTACATCTAGTTATAGGGGGCGCTTACTTAGAGCGAATTATAGGGGGCGCTCACTTACATCTAGTTATAGGGGGCGCTTACTCACATCTAGTTATAGGGGGCGCTTACTCAGAGCGAATTATAGGGGGTGCTCACTTACATCTAGTTATAGGGGGCGCTTACTCACATCTAGTTATAGGGGGCGCTTACTCAGATCTAGTTATAGGGGGCGCTCAGTCAGAGCTAGTTATAGGGGGCGCTTACTCAGAGCTAGTTATAGGGGGCGCTTACTCAGAGCTAGTTATAGGGGGCGCTCACTCAGAGCTAGTTATAGGGGGCGCTTACTCAGAGCTAGTTATAGGGGGCGCTTACTCAGAGCTAGTTATAGGGGGTGCTCAGCCAGAGCTAGTTATAGGGGGCGCTTACTCAGAGCTAGTTATAGGGGGCGCTCAGTCTGAGATAGTTATATGGGGCGCTCAGTCTGAGATAGTTATATGGGGCACTCACTCAGAGCTGGTTGTGGGGGCCTGCTCAGTCAAACCCACACACATAAATACCACGTTAATTTATGCAGAAATGTGAAGTACTTACCCGGTAGATTGTTTATGAGGATGCTGGAACAGTACGCGCAGCATCTCTGCACAGCGGGCTTCTGCGTCGTGGCTTCCCCTCCCTCGGACGCCGGCGGCATCTCGGCAGATTCCGACTCCCGCCTCGTCACCTGCCCGTCCTTGCAGATGCTCTTGCGTTTTCTCAGCCTGCGAACGATTACACCCACTCTCGTTCTACATGCATAGATGCGTCGGACCACATCAGTGAGACGTTTGTTGCATGCAAATCCGATCCACATATATAAAAACTACAAAAAATTGAAGTTGAAAAAAAAAATTTAAACATTAACAGAAACAACAATCACAAGGCTTACTAATGAAAAATTCAATGTTAATTTTCGTAGATACGTGTGGACGCTGTTACAGTGTAGATACACTGTAACAGCGTCCACACGTAGATACACTGTAACAGCGTCCACACGTAGATACGTGTGGACGCTGTTACAGTTAGATACACTGTAACAGCGTCCACACGTAGATACACTGTAACAGCGTCCACACGTAGATACACTGTAACAGCGTCCACACGTAGATACACTGTAACAGCGTCCACACGTAGATACACTGTAACAG